AATGGTTTAGATTGTTTTAAAATAAAAAAAAAACATCATCTAACGGCCGACACTATTTTAAACTGTCTCGAGCTATGAACGTCTCAGATCATTTCTATCCGATGTACCACATTACCTCTTAAAAAAATTTTATCGCTCAAAATTTTTAGTTTCCATGCCTAAATTTAACTTTTCCAACCGGTCAACGCAATCAAACCCAACAATTACTGCTAGCATATGTGCCCGCGATTACTCTGCCAGAATATTAATTTCCATAATTAATATCTCAAAATTTTATTCCGCCAATACTCTGCCCCCTCTCTCTCTCTACCCCCAATTAGTCTCACTCACGACTTAATTTACTGACGCTCCCTATTTCTCTCTTCCCCTGCTTCTCTGTCTCTCTCCTTTATTAGTCTCTCCATCTCCCTCTCTCCTTATTAGTCTCTCTATCTCCCTCTCTCTCTCCCCCTCCCTCTTTGGACACATCCGACCAACTCACCACTACCGAGCGACCCACCACTGAGAGATACATCACCGAAAATACAGTCCAGGTCCTCTCTCTCTCTCTCTCTCTCTCTCTCTCTCTCTTCAACTTTCTGCACAAACACACAGCATAACGCACGCTCACTGCACATGCAAATCACACGCACAGCCACTCACTCACACATTCTTTTACATTTTTATTGTGTTTGACTAATTAGGTTTGGTTTGAACCACAACTACCACAACGAATATCAAGTGTTGAACAAAAATTCTCAAAAGAGTTACAAACATGAAGAGTTCGAAATGATGGGTTTTATAGGATTTTTTTGGATGAATACTGTTCATGTCGTGGACGTTTCACAATACTGCGTGTGATACTTGGTTGAACTTGATTTTTGCATTTCATTTTTAAACATCTGCACATTGTTTGGAGTGATGGTATACTGTTTGGACTGATGAATCTATTTTGAAACTTCGTGTCAGGCATTGCTTGGTCAGTCCCTCTTTTTGGTTGTATTTTAATCATATGGCAGTAAAACTTTCCCAATAAAATCGTATGGCACTAAAATTGCAAATAGGAACACCACTGATTTTTTCGACTCTCTTCTCCATTATATTGATTGTATTTAGTTGCTTTGCCTTTGAGAGTCTCTTTTCTCTATTCTGGCAAAAATCCAACCAGGAGTCAGAACTTTACTTCTTCCGTTAAATTTTCATTTTGATATTACTCTAATTTTGATGTCATATTTTTCTGGGTTTTTATTTCCGGGTTCTTTTCAAATGGACTATTTTTTTCATGTTGATATTATATGAGGATTTTTCATTTTTTTGTTGGTGTTTTTCAAAAATTATTTTTCAACTGTTTTATTACAATTTAAATTCTGTGCTTAATTTTTAATATAACTCGATTCTTTGTTAATTACTTTTTTTAAAAAAAATTCTCTTTCTCGGTCCTCCGTGTCCATGGCAATTCTCTTATTTACTACAATATATTGGTATCTATTCAAGTTTTCTTGGCAATGTGATGTTTGGAAGTTGTTCAATGTTTTAATCTTTGGCAATGTGTCCGCATGTTTATTTTGCAGAATAGGGATTGTAAAAGATCTAATTGGTTCATATTAGCCTAAAAAAAACACACAAAGTGAAACTATGTAAACAAATTTTTTTTTTTAATTCCCCGATGCTTTGAAATGATAGTGATTGGTTCAATTAGATGGTGTTAAATGTTAGTAGTTAGTATTAGGACGTATATTTCAATAGGTATACAAAATGATTTGATTATTAATTGATGTTCATATTTAGCATTGACATCGATCACAGTCCGTAAAGTTAATCAATTTTTTATGAGTTTGATTTCTGACAATTTTTTGAGTGCATTATGTTTTCAATTTTAAGTCAGATCTTTGCATCCATCATTCATTCTAATGCAATCCGTTAGTTTTGTGAACATTTTTTCTTCTTGCCTCCTCTAGATCCTAATCCTGTGGAGGCTGATGTAACTCTCTAGAGTAAAGTCTATCGTCGACAAATGCATACTGGTGGGTATTTTGACTTTTCACTTCTGTTGTCTTTTTTGTTTGCTACGAAGATTTAGTAAAAACTTTGATGTTGACCATCTAGATTGGCATCGATGCAAGTGGGATTTGGGCATTCAGTGGAGTGGAAGTTCTGCAAATTTGTTGAGGAAGCTTAATTTGGGCCGAGGTTTTGGATACTAAAGACAATGTACAGTGTCAAAAATTTAGGTATTGATATATGTCCTATGGTTGTAATATTATCTCTAAAAACTTTGTTACTATTTGAGATCGTAAAGCATAGTACATATAAACTTCTAATTGGCAGGACAAGAATATGAGATTAGAAATTATAGTTTTGAGGAAGTAAATCATTTTGTGGCTGAAGAACTTCAAATGATAGGTTCATGTCTTTACTTTTTCTTTTCAGGCAGAATTTAGGATATTGTGTTTGACCAACGAGTTGAATTTGGGTTTTTTTTTTTATTGTACAATAGGTTTGTATTTGAAACATATTATAATATCTATATTATTTAGATCAATAAAATTTTCCATCTTCTGATTTTTTTTTTTTTTTATTTTTTTTTTTTTTGTGTGTGCATAGGTAGTTGTTTGCGATTTTTTGTTTTATATAGTGTTTTCAGGCACGGACAATTATTAGTATAAAATAAAGTAGAACGATTTTAAATGTTGGAGACAAAGAGCGGCCCAGATCGTTCCGTAACCAAAAAAGTCAGCATCCATCGGACGGCGTTATCTCAAACTGTCTCAAGTTATTGACGTCTCAGATCGTTTTGATCCGACGTAACACATTAGATCTTTTGATATATTTTTGCTGCTCAAAATTTTTAGTTTTCAAAATTAACACCCCTGCAATGAATTTCTCTCTCAATCTCGCCCAAAATCAATATCATCTAAATCTAATATTTTGTCCAAATCTAAAATTAAAGTCCATATTTAAATTTTGACCCCCGATAATGCTGCTCTAAATAATATCTTTTCCATATCTCACTTTTTCACATCACAGCTTCAGAATATTCAATATAATGATGATACTATATTATTTACTCCGTTTTTCTTTATCACTTGCATTCATCTCGATCTTTTCATCTAATTATTTATAATATCCCTTTTCTTCTCTGTCTCCCTCTTTTTCTCTCTTTGTTCTTCCTCTCAAGCTTTGCCCCCAACGAATAGTTACCTAGGGCCAACTCCACAATATGGAAAAAAAAATCATGGACTTTAGGCCTCATAATTTTAGGTACATCACTAACCCACAAAAAAAAATTAAATTCATTAAATTTTTAGTCATACAAAAAAAGTTTCAAAAAATTAAATCCAATCAAAATTTTTATTGCAATAATTTAAACTTATAATCTAATTCATAACATTAAAAACTTAGAAATTAAAAAAATTAAAAAAATATTCAAAAATCAACTCATATTTACTCCCTCTCTCTCTCTCCCCTTCAATTCTCAAAAATTACAAATTTAATTGGTCATCCAAAAATAGAAATATGAAATGTTTTCGTTTTATTTGGTCATCCAATTCCAAACACATCCGAAAACAGTTCAATGTCCGCATAGAAGGCGATGTCTATGGGAGCTTTAAGCTCGTGGTTGAGGGCAATGCTCCAAATCTAACCTTACACCTTCTCTGTTGTTGGCATCGCCATTGCTGTCGGCGTCTCTATTTCGTGCACACACAAACACACAGACTACTGTACTCTTGATATAATGAAAAATATAAGAATGGAAAGTTAAAAGGATATAAAGTTAGAGGGGTAAATAAAATATCATGTTTGATAAGGAAAGAAAATAAAAATGATGGAAAAGTAGATGGATTAATTTTTTTTCCAACTCACCAAAATCAATCCCTCTAAAATCGGAAAGAAAGTAAATAGAAACTTAATTATTTGTGTTGAAATGTATCTTATTTGTCTATATATTATATATACATTTATTTCATATAAAAATACAATGATAAACACTGGCTATGATGGTGGTGGTTATGGTGAACAACCCTGATGTTGGTCATGATAACTGATGGTGGTGGTGGTTGTAACTGATGGTAGGCAAGTGTGATGGTGATGAGCGACAATAGTTGTAACATTGTAATGATGGGTGGTGATGTGTGAATGCGGTGAGCAACGATGGGTTGTGACAATGACGGTGGGTGGTGGTGGACAATGATAGATAATGCTAATAGTGATGGGTTGTGGAGGTGGGCGACAACAACGATGGTGGATGGCGGGTTGTGCTGGTGTGTGGCAACAATAAAGGTTATAAGGGTGGTGTGGTGACAAAGGTGAGATGATGATAATAGTAATAATAAATATAAGAATAATATAAAGTTGAATTTTTTAAGTAACCTCCTTTACTATAAATATTTCTGTCGAACCTCATTTTTATGAACTTTTAACCTCGAAAATATTATTGTTCTACCTAAAACATTAAAAAATCCCCCATTTCCCTATAAAAAAATCCAAACGCCACACGCAATTTGACAGTACGAGCATTCATTGAAAATTGGAGAAACCAATGGAAACAAAAACTGGAGCAAAAATTATGTTTTAAGATTCATCAAATACAAATTTTTCACATTTTTTTACGGGGTACAATCAGTGCAATTTACCATGGACGTTGGTAGTAATACTATAATTCATATAAGTTTTAACTATATTAAATTTTCAAAAATAAACAAGTACTCCTCTTCTTTTTTTTTTTTACTATTTTATATTTGAACAAACCAACTACCTCTAATTAATGAAATCTCAAATTATTTTGTGATCAACTGTTGCCTTGACTGATTGTGAAAGCAGTGCAATCAAGGAAAGGACAACAAGATTCAAATGCCATCATAGATGATGCAATAAAATGAAAGATTTTTATTCTAATCACAGCAACCAAATCGACCACAAAAAAAGCACAGAAAAAGGATTAATTACTATGACTTCGGATATTTGTCAACATAATGACATTCGTCTCGTTTATTGAACATGAAAAAAACTACATTACTTCTCATAATTAAAGCCTAAGCCAAGGGAATTTTCTACTGACAACCAAAGCAGAAAAGAGTATTAAGATAATTATTCATGCAATATATATCCCCAACACACAAGAAACAATCCCCTCCAATATCCTACCTTTCAGATAATAACAACCATTCTTTTTTATGAGTATGTTTAACAGAAAATTACTTGATACTACCGAGATAAAAAAAAAAAAAAACATTGAACAAATTTTATGTTTCTTTGGGTCCCTCAGCTTTCATTCCACCAAAACAATGAGCTGCTTGGGTACCCACACAGATCAAACAGCTAAATGCTCATTCGAAAGTTAATCGAGCTGCTTTGATTTCTACCCATTAGCAGCCCCAAGATCTACCTAGAAAAAGGACAACGACAAAACTAGTGTAACAGAAAATGCAAGCGGCAAAGTGAGGAACAAGTTAAACTAGAGCCAAAAAATACTACAGCCAGAGAAGATTCTGAAAAATCATCACACTAGCCAATTGTTATGACATCCCTTTTAACACAAGTCATGAAAAATCTCCCAAAGTATGCACCCTTCTTACCCATGGAGGAGCAATCAAACTTCACTAGGAGGTCCTCTTTGGTGCAGATCAAAGCAAACATTTATTGTGCTCGTATCCTTACCTCGTGCGCCAGGAAAGTTGCCCATAGACCCGTGGATGATGATCACCAAAGCTACAAGCCCTTATCAATGACAAGTTCATTCTTGGTTCCTTCGCTTTATGAAAGCTGAGCTTAACAAGAGCGCAAAGGGGAGTATTTGCTTAATGAGGGGAAAAAAACACCTACCAAAAAGGGTGGTTTTCCCTACAAGGAATTATCAAATCCCAGTTGTACAGAAAAGTCTTTTCCACCCATATATCAAAAGGGCCAAACCCTACAAGCTTTTTGAGTAAAACACATACAAAAATTCTCTCGCAAGTCCCACGTGAAGGAAGCAGCATAAAAAAAACAACATTAAACATTAAAACGCGGTTGAAAACTTGATTCCTTTATCCTTCAAAACTTAGATTTCTAGAATCGCGCATTGTCCAACCAGAATAATGACTCCATGCTTATTTAAGCATGTTTTGGAAATTAATTTGATACAATTCTTTTTCGAACATTAAAAAAAAAAAAAAACTTTTTTCCCAGATATAGTACCAACTGGTGTAAATATAGACAAAAGTTTTCCACAATTAAAAATTAATGCAAAAAAAAATACAGCTGCAATGGAGTGTCATTATAATGTAGAGGCACTAAAAAAATTACCTGCAATAACAGCTGCTATAAGATAATTCACAAAAGAAGTTAGATGATATCAAGCAGCCAAATTTATTCTGTGATACACTAGACCAAGACTGGGACAGTAGATAATATCAGCACCAAGTTATCCGCACCTCCATATTTAAAGGGAAAAACAAAACCAAAAAAACCCATCAGACAATGGGAGATAGACACAACAGATCATAAACATGACATTTAGTCAGTAAATTAAGGTCAAAGAAAGCTCAGAAAGATGCATTGAAAAATGATGAGATCATGCTACATAAAACAGAAAGAAACCACCAAGTAGAAGATATAGTCAATAATAGCAAATGTAACTGATTAACCCACTTAAAATTCTGTGGAGACATTGTGTTTCCAGTAGGAAAACCCAACCAGCTCACCCACACATTTTTAGAAATAAAAATACTGGAACTGAAATAGTACATTGTTTTTGAAAAAAAACACTCACGGGAACAAAAGTTCTTGGATAGTAAAGAAAATACATGTTTAAGATTATGGTCTTTGGGCAAATAGAAACTTTTTGCTACAAATATAAAGACGTCATTTGCATGAGTGCCCGGAACTTCAGAGAATCACCAGAGTCCAAAACTAAAAAGATTGATGCATTTACGAAGGAATCTGCACAATGAATACGAATCATAAAAAACTAATTTCAAGAACAAGAGATTTCCAGCAGAAAAACAGATTAGGACAAACTGAAGTTGAAACTTCATACCTTGGATTAGTAAAAATACAACTTTAAAAGAATAGCTGCTCATGGTTTATCCAACTAAACAAGAATTTTAGTCTCTAAAACGAATACATACTACACTTTGAAAAAGTGCCATAAAAATAAACTTTAGAATAAACAGAACTTCACCAAAAATATGGTCACCAAATGTAAACCAAGCTTACAGAAGTATATACAACAATGAACAATTTATTTGAAAAAATAATATAAGAAACTTATATGGCATAACAGAAAATTTAGTGGTGGGATGGAATGTAACTGTAAGCAATATTTAGAACTTAGACAGCAAAACAGAAAATCAGAAGTGGATAGGATGTAATTGTGAGAAATGCTTGCACAACACAAATGTCTACTAACATAGTTCAAAGAGAATCACTCAAAGCACTGACGAACATTAAAACAATTTACTTCAAAGGCAAGACACTCCATTACAGAGAATAAGGAGCAAAGGTATCAAGTCTTCCCATAACTTTCTTTTTTTAATTGGTTATACAAACGTAACATCTTATATATCATATTATCAGAGCCATGAATATATGTATCAAACCAGGAACAGACTAGATAAAGCCAACCATTTCTCAGACTACACAATGCCCACAACATATGATGTAATTTCCCAGTAGGTCCCGTACAATGTATCCCCTTACCATTCACTAGAGTTGTAGCTTACTTCATATCTAAGGCTCTTATCCTAATCAGTGAGCAGATCTCAAAAAGCATGTTTGGGCTTATGTTTCTCGATCAAATATCTCAAATTTTTTAAGAACGACAAACTCCTTTTTTTATATCAAATTATCAGTCTCTTCCTGTGTACCAGCAGAATGTAGCAAAAATAGACAAAACAACTTTAAAATGTAGCAAATATAAAACAGTGTAAAAACATAGAACAAAGGATCAAAAAAAAAATATAACACAGCACCTTTTTTAATAAATTCAAATCACATACCTTATTAGCACAACATACCAGCATAGATGATCAATTAATAATTCAAGAAGAAGAAGAACATTGTTCAAGACATAGTACTAGTCATTCACTCAGAGGGACCTGACAAACATCAAAGAAGAAGAAGAAAACCATCGAATAAGAAGAAGAAGAATCTAATCATCAGAGAACTACAATCAGTAAAGAAGAAGAAGACTCATAAAGAATCAAACGAAAAAAAAAGAAGAATCATCAAAAAAGAGAGAAGAAAAATCAAAGAGGAACCATCAAAGAAGAAGAAGAAGCATTGTCGAAGAAGAAGAAGAAGAAGAAGAAGAATCAAAGAATATGATGATGACGAAGCATCAATGAAGAAGAGAAGGAGACAGCAGCAGAAGAAGAAAAATTGTCAAAGAAGAAGGAAGCATATGAAAAGGCATCAAAGAACAAGAGAAGGAATCAAAGAACTATCAAAGAAAAAGAAGAATCATCACACTGAGGCAACGCTTAAAGGTGGAAAATAGTGTGGAATAGTCAAAAAAGTCATGCATAGTGAGGCAAGCCACCCGCGCATGAATGCTGATGATGGACATAATGACGTGTCAGACTAAAATATAACCAAAGTTATGATGAGTTAAAAACAAAGCCTAGATTTGCAAACGACTTGATCTGAACTTGGGCACGTCTCGAATATAAATTGAGCTTAAATAATTGATCAGAATTAGTTTATATTGATATATGAGTGAGCTTGAACGTACCAAAACCAAGTCAAACTTGAGCTGTTCATTTTAGAGCCCTACTACACACATCACTCTATAAAACAAGATACAAATAAAGGAATAAGATATAGAAAAACAATGAGATTAACTTAAGAGTAACGAAGATGTCGCTTCACTAATAAAAAGAAAAAACCAAATACACTAATATGCATAACTACAGCAATGCCATATGGGTGTCAAAAATAACAAATCATTTCAAGTGTTATTTTTCATAAAAGTGTAAAAAAACCTAATACGTTATAAATTCTCACCTAACAAAAGAACAATTACATTAAGTTAGATGGCCGCCCTACTAAAATGGGAACCACCAACACTGTACACTCATGCTACAATATAGTGCATCTATAAACTAATATCTAGGTTAGAAGGCATAGTGTATGATTGCAAACAAAAAATTCTATGTAAAGCATATACAAAAGGTAAATATATAGCTATCCTAATCAAAATATTCAAATAAAAACATTTTTTGAGGACTGATATAAAGATTTCTACCAAGTAACTTACTTCTTAACAAACTCAGAAACAACTAGCAAACTTAACTAAAAGGTAAAAACACAAGTATCACAAAACAATATATAAAAAATCACAAAAAAGAAAATAATTAGGTTGATATACCTTTCACTCACCTAGTGACCATGCCCCATGTATGGAGCACTGCCCTGCGGTGGCCGACCACTGCCCTGGCCCATCTGTGGGTTCTGGTAGCCGCCCTGCATCCCTGGCTGACTCCCATATCCACCTCCACCCTGGTTTCCATACCCTGCAGCATTGTTCATCACAGGTGGTACTCCTTGGTTCACCGGCGCACCAAGTCCTCCAAGCAGATTTGAAATCCCCAATCCAGCACCCTGAGTTGCAAGAAAAGCAGTCAAGGCCTGTCCCAGAGCTGGAGCCAATGCAGGCGCACCCACAGCAGGGTTGAACCCCACTGCGGGAGGTCCTGAGGGCGCCATCAGATGCCCTGGTCCGGACCCACCACCACTCGAATACTTCCCCTTCTTTGCCGCATGATGATGGTACTGACCATGCTGCTGTTGGTGGTGCTGATGCTGATGCTGCTGTTGATAATAGTTCTGTTTATTTGGTTTTGGCCCATCAATAGCCTTCTGAACATGTAATGTATGCCCTTCAAAAGTCTTGTGTGGCTCTTCCAAAGCCTTTCTCGCACTCTCAATTGTCTTATACACAAACAAAGCAAACCCTCTTGGTTTTCCAGTTTGTTTATCCAAACCCAAAGGCCCGTCTTCAATTTCCCCAAACTTCGAAAAGAATTCCGAAAGCTTCAGCGGCTCCAGATCGGCCGAAACATTACTCACAAAAATCTTTCTCTGGGTATACTCTGAAACCGGAGGGGCAGTCGGAGGCGGTGCCGGGACCGGACCGGCGGATGCCAGCTGGCACGAGGTCATCCGATTTCCAATCTTTTTCTGGGGCTGCCTGAGGGCCTTCCTCGCCCCACTCCGATGCTTAAAGAGAATGAAACCATAGCCCTTAGATTTTCCGGAGACCTTGTCGGTCACTGCTTTGCAATCCTCAATTTCGCCATATTTTCCGAACACCGAAGTTAGGGTTTCGGCAGTGGTGTCCCAGCCGAGGCCGTGCACGAAGATCTTCCTGTGCGCGGGGTCCAAATCGGCCAACTTCTCAACACTTTCAACAAGTTCTGGGTACTTCGATACAGCCTCTTTCACTAAAACCACCAGTTGTTCCTTCGAAAATGGTTCCAGAAGCTTCTCCACCGGCTCGTCCTCCACATCTTCCTCTTCCTCTTCTTCCTCTTCTTCTTCTCCGTCATTCTCTTCCTCTTTCTCTCCACCGCCGTTAACTTCCGGTTGTGGAGCTTGTTCTGCTGATGTGGCATCGTTTAAGGAGGTGCTCGCATCTGCTGTGTCATCTTGCTCTTGGTTTTCTTCATCTCCCTCGTCCTCCTCCATGCTTTCAGTCTCTTTTTCTTCGGTGGGTTGCTCTTGTTTCAGATCTTCTTGATGGGTCTGTGCTAGTTCCTCTTGCTCTTCGACCGTTTGAGCTTGTTCATCTTCAACTTGTTCTTCAACAGACGGTAATTGTTCTTGCTGTTGAAGTGGATCAGGTTGCTGCTGAGTCTCGGAAGGTCGGACCTTTCGCTTCTTGGCCATAGAGGACAGGACGGAGAGAAGTGTAAATTAGGGTTTGTGGGAGGCTAGGGTTTTCAGATGAAGGATAAAAATTGGCCGGATGAAATGTACGTTTTTCGTCTGTTAATTGTTCACTTTATAAGGCTCCACCCGACCACTATTGGGCTGAGGTCCATTTCAATTTGGGTTTTTTGGTGGCCGATCCAAGTAATTTTTGGACAATAAAGTACCTCAATTCACTACCCCTGGGAAAACGAAATGCATCAATGTTACTGCCCTCCAAATAAACTCAAAGACTTAAAAATTAAATTTGATAATTTTAACCATTGAATAGGTAGTGGGTCTCAATAAATACTAAGACTCATAGTGAAATCAATGATTGAGATTATCAAGTCTAATTTTTAAGTTTACTTTTTAAGTAGTGAGTCTAAATAAATGCTGGGATCCACAGTATTTATTAGGACTCACTACCTATTCAATGGTTGAGATTATCAAATTTAGTTTTTAAGTTTATTTTTTAAGTCCATGTAGCATTACTCAAACTCAAAAATCAAACCTTTGTGATTTACAAATATCGGTCCTTCCCATGCCAAAATTTCGTGTCACTCATTACCTTCAAGAAACCACTCATTATTATTTGTAGATCCGAAAAATATATGGTGATGATGGTCTTGTGCAGTTTGTGTTGACAATATTTGTTGGTTTTACTAGTGATGAACCTAAGATGGTGAATTGAAGGAAGAGAGAGATTACATAGAAAAAGTGTGATAGAAGAGAAATGAGAGAACTTTTAAAGCAAAAGAGAAGATTGAATAGAACCACTACATGGTTAGTAAAACCCAAGCAAATGATTGGATTATCCTAATCCGGTCTTGATCCAACTCAATTATAATTTTTTTTTTGTGTGTATTTGTTGTTTTCTTTTTCTTGTTAGGTGACTAGAGTGTGTATAATGTCTTAAGCTCGTCGTTGAATTAGTGAACTTGCATTATGTTTTAAGCCCCTTGACCTTATACTCGACACATACGTGATGTTATCCAATATTGCTAGTGAAAAGAACTATACATGAATAGCTTGAGATCGGCTCATGCCAAAGCTCATTCAAATTTATTCATTTTTAAAATGAACGGAAATCAAGCTCAATTTTGAAGCTCGTTGCATAAATAGACTGATTTGAACAATGTCTTCAACTCGTCAAGCTCATGAACAATTTGAGCCTATTTATACATACATACCTATAGTGTATATGTGTGTGTGGTACATATTTAAATAACCCACCAATACTATCCACCACCAAAATTTTTGTGGTCCATTAAAATCTGAAAGGTTGGAATCCAAAAGTATCCGAAAGGTTGGAACCTACCAAGTAGTTCACATGAAGAACACAATCTTAATGAGCAACAACGAATCATAGATTTTACCAGATAAAAATACTTCAAGTTTATAGCAGGCTAGAGTAGGACCTCTCAAGTATTTTTAATATTTTCTCAAGCTCTAAAAATTTAAATTTTCTTGGTAAATCTTTTTATTTTGTACCAGAAAACAATTCAAATTCATACCGGGGATTGAATCTCCCCTACTATAAGCCCTTAGCAAGTGCAAATCAAGTGCGGGCTACCAGACTATAATATTGTGTTATTGATCTAACATGATTACTGAGCGTTGAAGCGAACACTAAGAAGATAGTACTTATTCAATCTAACATTTTCTTTCATACTAAGAGTTGCTACTCACCAAGTCTTCATAGTATGACTCTAAAAGTATTTTTAAAATATTTATCCAAGTCGAAAGATAAGAGTTATACTACAACTATCAAAATCTTAGTTCTAAGTTCAATTACTAATTTAGCACATATGTATCTACAATATCACTTTAATCTGATTCTTCCAAACTCTACTTTGGTCTTTAATCATTGTAAATATTGATGGGTCAAGTTCAAGGGCCCAACTCATGTTATAAACCCAGTTTAAATTAAGAGTTCAACTTAAGAGAGATCCCGTAAGTCCAGTCTAAAATGGTTCATGCCTAGTCAAGCTCATTAGGTGTAAACTCTCACATTTTTATATTAAGATACTGATGTAATTATTTAGTAATTCTTATATATGTAATGACGTAATAATGAACCACATAGATTGTAATGGTAGGAATAAATACTTGGGAGACAAATTGATTGTGAAGTTTAAAGTTTCGAAATTGTTTAAGCTTGGGAAAGGGGGGTTAGGTAAGTTTCTAAATATTTTTAAGTCAAAATAAGATTTTCATTGAATCCGGATGGTCGAGAAACCTTGTCAAAGGTAATATGAGGTGTGTTAGAAATTAGGAAGTATTCTAAAGTTAAAACGCATTTTAGAAAGAATTCAGTTAAGAAGGAATTTGACACTACCTTAGTATTTTGGCCATAACTTTTTAATCCTAACTCTGATTGAGCTGATTTTTGGATAGTAGAAACTAGACTTCAAGGGATACAAAAGTGTATTTCACAAACATTTCCTAAATCGACTTTTAAATAGGTTAAAACTACTCTCAAAGTTGGGACAAAAAGTTACCTCCGTCCAGATGCTCCAAGCACCGTCTGAACGGTACTCCTTACCCAAAAACTTTATTTTTCGTCAAAAACAGTGAGTTTGAATCATCTGGACCCCCAAGGACCATTCAGACATTACCCTGAAAATGGCCCCGATCAGTTTTAGTATTTTTCTCTATTTTTCACCCTATAAATACTATAAAGGCGTCTCTTTAACTATTTTTTTATCAGTTTTCAACCCTAGACAACTTTAAAGAGCGAGAGAGAAGGAGAAACACAAGACTCAAAAGGATTCTCACATTAGAACGGATCAAACACACTAAGTTTACACACAAACTACGGAATTGATGTAAGGGATTCTTCTCAAGTTCTTTTATTGAGACTTAGGGTATACTTATGTATGATTTCAATCTTCTTGATAATTATATGATAGATATATCTGAGTTTTTAGTTTCTTTATTATTGGAACATAGTCTTGAACAAAATACATGTTTGGATTCAAGGAATATATGTTCTTGAATTTCCAAAACCCTAATTTTTCTAAAATACATGTTCTATTATGAAATTTGATAACCAGAAACTAATCTAACTAATTAACTAATCAGTTGTAACTAATCAACTAATTTTGCCATGTTGGCATTCTGTTAGATTCCAATTGTATTCTCAATGTCTTCTTATAAGTACTGAAGGCATACTATTGTAAACAAGTTAAGGATTTACAATTAAAATTTAGATCTGAATTTCATTATGTCCTCTGTGTGTTTCTCTATCTGTAAACTCATCATGGTATCAGAGCCATAAGAGACGAAAGTCTTCATCAATGGCAAAGACATCATCTTCAGCTTCAATTACTCCATCTTCAGCTTCAATTACTCCACCAGTTTCTACTACTACTTCGTCAAACCTTCTTTTCCAGTCTCCCATATATCTTCTGTCTAATATTTGGAATTTGATTTCTATTCGTTTAGACTCCACAAACTATATTTCTTGGAAATTTCAGATCTCATCACTGTTACGAGCTCACTCTTTGCTAAGTTTTCTTGATGGATCAAATCCTTGTTCTCAAAAGTTTTTATCAGATGAAACTAGAGCTCCTACCACAGAGATTAATCCAAGTTACCAACAATGGCAGATTCAAGATAAGGCCTTAATGACACTGATTAATGCTAATCTTTCACCATCAGCAATTGCTCATGTTGTAGGTTATAATACATCACAAGATGTCTGGTCAGCTCTGGAAAGACGATTCTCCTCACAGTCACGAGCAAATGTTCTTCAACTCAAAAACAGTCTACAATCTATTACCAAAGGAACAGATTCAGTTGATGATTATGTGCAGAAAATTAAAGTAATTTGTCATAAATTAGCAGCAGTCTCATTATTTGTTAAAGAAGAAGATATCATACTGTATACGTTGAATGGCTTGCCACAAGAGTACAACTCTTTCAGAACAACAATTAGAACTAGATCTCATCCTCTTTCTCTTGAAGAGCTTCATGTTTTACTGAAAACAGAAGAAATTTCTGCTAGTGCTGTTCAAAAAGCACAACATACTCAGTTTTCACCTACAACAATGGTTACTACACAATATAAACCATATAGCAATCAAAACAATTCGGGAAGGAACAATTTTAATCAAGGACGAAGTGACAACCGAGGTCAATATGGCAATAGAGGAAGAGGAGGCAGAAATCAATATGGAGGAAGATCTAATTCTCAGAATCATGGCTCTCATCAGCAGTTTTCTACTCAAGGCAGGAATCAGACTTTCAACTACAACAAACCACAAATAGCTTGTCAGATCTGCAAAAAATTTGGTCACAGTGCTTCTAACTGCTATCATCGTATGAATCTTTCCTATCAAGGTAATCATGGCCAGTATCAGTCTTCTTCTTCTCCAAACTCTGCTATGATGGCCTTTTAAGACTCATCTTCCTATTCTTCAGTGGATCATCTACCAGATAATCAATTCCCTATCTCCTCTGGTTCACAAAATTCAAATTACTGGTTGATTGACTCAGGAGCATCACATCATCTCACTTCAGATCTTGATAATCTCAGTCTTGCTTCTCCATATCAAGGAGATGCCAGTATTACTGTTGGTAATGGTCATGACCTTCCCATTACTCACTCAGGTCACTCTCTTCTTGTCACTTCTTCTTACTATTTTAAACTCAATAATGTACTCAAAGTTCCTGCTATTTCTGCTAATCTGATTTCTGTTAAGAAATTTTGTCAAGATAATCATTGTCCATTCATTTTTTATGCTCATTCCTTTATCATTCAGGACAAGGCCACCAAGCAAGTCATATATCAAGGCAAATGTAGCAATGACTTGTATCCAATTGTTGGTGTTCAGTCTTCATCCTCATCTCCTGTTGCTTTTCTTGGCACCAGAGCAACAACTCACACATGGCATGATCGCTTAGGCCATCCATCTTCTCCAGTTCTGCATCAAATTTTATCACAGTCTAATATTCCTTACAATAAATTTGGCTTTCATTCTTGTCAATGTACTCAATGTTTGTATGGAAAAATGTCTAAATAACCTTTTCCAATTTCCACTACATTTTTAGCTTCTCCTTTACATATTTTGCATAGTGATGTTTGGAGTTCTGCCCTTCAT